TTTTTTTAAGGGGGGTCTGAGGGTCCGAGAGGTGTTACCTGTGCTGATATGACTGAGAACCACAAATAGTGAAATTTCAACTGAGTTTCAAGCTTCAACTTTGAAGTTTGGAGTTTGAACTCCAACTGCCAAGACATTGCACGAATATCAAATTTCATGCCGTGGGTCGGGTTGTTCGGTCGGTACACACCTGTTCACGTTTGTAGATGCAGAAACACTGCATCTGAGTGCCTCGTCATGAAAACAGACAACTGCAGAGGGACACAGTGTCAGAAAGTTAAAGTTGTCGGACACATCACGAAGAAACCACAAACAGCCTGGGACAAGACAACATCCGAAATAGCTTCCCCATTGCAATGTTGCTAAGTCAGTTATATCACTTATAGTCAGCAAAACAGTGAACCTCCGAGTTCGCTGTGGGCCAGATCCTAATTCTCAGCCTCTCCATCATCAGAAGATTCAGAACCTCCGTCCTGTCCCTCCGCAGCGCCTTCCTCCCACTCTCTTCCTCTTGTTTGCCCCCCTCGTCCTCATCATCAGAAGATTCAGAACCTCCATCCTGTTCCCCGTCATCACCATCACCATCATCATCACCATCACCATCATCATCACCATCACGATCATCATCATCATCACGGTCATCATCACCATCGGCATCATCATCACCGTCATCATCATCAGAGGATGACGACGATGAAGCCGAACACGGAGGGGTGTTGTCATCGTCAATGACTTTCCCCTTCTTTTTCTTCGCTGCTGCTGCTTTTTTCTTTGCAGCAGAACTCTTTTTCTTTGCAGATGCGGACTCCTTCTTCGCAGCTTTCTCTACTGCTTTTCTTTCTGCCTTCTCCTTGTTGCTCGGTCGTCCTCTCCCCCGTTTCGGAGCAGGCGCAATGTCTACCTCCGCGGTACGCTTCCCGCCACCGTCCCCCTCACCAGGACGTGCTCGCCGATGCTGCCTCCTGCTTCCACCTTCTTCCCTGCCATCCACCCATGCCCCCGTCTCTCTGGCCCGCAGCACACGGTCCCGCTCCTCCAAGTTGTAGTGGACTTCTGGTGCTGGGAGCTCTTGGCCTGACAGCCTCCTCAAGAGACGTTCTCGGTGCCTCCCCGACATTGTGTTGAAGTGCCAATGGTGTGTGTAATTGTCGAGCTGCCTGATGCCGTCCTGCTGGTCCATGTAGTCGTCCATGTCGTCATTGTGCAGCCACCTCCGTGCCATAGGGACTTCGTCATCATCCCCCTCCCCAACTCCCCCCCCATCTCCTTCCTCCAAGTCACTCCCCCCATCCTTCGCACGCCTCTTGACGCGCCGCACCCACTCATTGTAATACGCCTCCGCCTCGTGCTTCCTCTCCTCATCAGGCATGTCCTCCAACCAAGGGATGTGAACATCAACCTCGCCCTGACCGTGTTCTTGCCTCCGCTGCAGGTGAAGGTTCCAGTTGTTATAAACCAACTTCGACAGGCGGGTTGGCAAAATCCTCGTCCTCCTACTCCCGAAAATGAGCTCATGTAAGCTCCAGTTGCGTTCGCATGCAGCAGATGACCTTGCCTGGCCGAGCAGTCTGATGGCTTGCGGCTGCAAAAGGTACAGTCGCGACCCAAATGCATCCCACCACATCGCCTCCTCGAACTGCGTGGCAAGGTCGGGCCACACAATGTCGGGCACCCACCCCTTATCGCCCACTGCCAGCTTGAGGGCATTGCTCGCATCCGACAGCGACTTCAGCATGATGATGTTTGTGGCAAATCGAGTCACACCCGGCCTCTTGATCTGTGCACCTCCGGATTTGCTGAGGAATAAAGCACACACCTTGTCGTGGCTCATGATAAACTTCCCCAATTGATTCCCCCTCTTCACCGTCATTCTGAACCACTAACGACTTGTTCATGTCCTCCAAGGCAAGGTCGAGGGCATGTGCCGTACAACCAATCCGGAAGATCCATGGATACTTTTGTTCCACCATCTTCCCAACCTTCACACAAACTCTGGCGTTGTCCATGACCACGCCCACCACGCTCTTTGGCCCAATCTCCTCAATCGCCCCCTCGAGTATACGGAAGTAAGCCTGCGCATCCTTGTCCTTCCCTTCGACACACAACGATTTCCAGAACACTGTGCCATGTGGGAGGACACCATAACGTTGATGTTTGGTCTTCCCCGCCGGGCAGACCACCCATCAACCTGTATCATGCACCCCGTGCGTGCCCACTTTTTTGCGATCCCTGCCACATCTTCAATGGCGCTCTTGTTTTGCCCGTCCAATCTCCCATTGCGTGCTGCCTCTCTCGAATGAAGTTGCCAGGAAGCAGGGGCGTTCCGTACGGCGTCCGTCATGTCCTCAAAGAACTCGTTGTCGACCATGTTAAATGGTTGATTGGTGCAGGTCATCCAGCGGTCGACCCTCCTTGACGTCTGCTCGTTCTTTGTGACAATGCTGTCCG